GCAAATCACACATTTGTGTAGCTCTTTTTTAATTAATCTTATTCCATTTATGAGCCAATAATTGAGGTTTAGGTAAACAATTTTTAATACTTACAATGACATCATAAAAAAGAGTTTCTACATCATCAATTGAATCATCATAGTTACCATCAAGGCACAGAATTTCAACTTGAATGTCTTTAAGCTTTTGAAAACTGTCCTGCAATATTTCCTTCCGAACTAAAAATTGGTCGGTTTTATACTCACTGTCAGGATCAGATTTGTGATCGGAAATATAACGACTTATTCTAACCATGGAGTAGATTGCTTGCTTTTTCTTTGACAATAATTTATCAATTTGCTTTTTGGTAGCCATATTTACAAAGTTTACAATCAAAAAAATAAGAAAATATCAAAAGAAATCTATAAACAAAATTTAAAATTACCTAATAAATTAGATTTTTTTTTTTAAAAACTACTTAACAAAACGAAAAACGGATAATTGTTCATCCTTTAAATAAATAATGAAAAAATAGCAATAATTAATGCGAAAAATTCAGTTTTTCAAAAATAATGCAAATTCACTCAAATTCACTGCAAAAATCCAAAATACACAAACAACAAACAACAAAACGTAAACAAATGTTTGACATTTAATTTGAGGTTAAGCTGTCGGGGTGGTGAACTCTCACTTTCATGTTCGTTGCTCCGGGGCTGTACTTCATTGCACCAAGCAAGGATACTGCACCCGGGGTGACTTGGGTTGAACCAGACGAGAAAAAGAAGCACCCTTTTGAATTTGACAAGTGAAGTTTGTTTGCTCCGCCCCACTCTACTTACGCACTTCCGGTTCCGGCGGAAACCTTCGCTGGTGGCACGTGGAACCCAACGTTGTTTGAGACACGTGCAGACTGCACAGTGGATGATTGATTTTTTGCATCACATGGCGCCAAAAATCACGATGGAACAATCAATAACCACTAAAAAGGCACTTTTTGAGGGTTTTTAAAGCACTTTTAGGTTCCGAACTATCCAGTATCCGGCTCGAACTGGCCAAAATTATGTGCAAAACCACATAATGGAAGATAAATAACTTGATAATTAGTGGACTGTATAATTAGGTGGACTGGATGATCGACTGGATAGGGAACTAAAACACACGCGCTTTTCACTGACACTATATTTACAACAATTTACACAATATTTACACTATTTACAATTACTACTACAAGATGACAAGAAGCCAGAGCTTGCTTAGATGCCCAACAGGGCAGAGCTAGATTATAAAATTTATTAAAATGTGAAAAGGTTTCTGGATGCTTGTTAACGTGGACAAGCTCCAAGCTACACTGCTGCAATGACAAAAATGGCGCGCAATATATTGACAGACATGACAAAATAGACATGACGACAACGCTGCAGTGTTGCAAACTTTATATGTATAAAAATATTTTGCCATCAAAAAGAGATAGCATGATTGTTGGAACATGTTTCCAACATAAGTGCTATTGTGTCCTGTGCCACATCCAGGTGGCGGCATAAGGTTAGGTTGTCGAAGCCGCCCTACTATGGTGCAGGTTACACTGAAATAAATTTACCTGAATAGCCGGTTCCTCAAGCTCGATGCTGGTGGATGGGTGGCGGTTGATTTTTTATACCGCCTCCTCTAGAAGAGGGGAGATATTGGTAATGGTATCGTTGCCGGAGGTGGATGCTGTTGACGACGTCTCGAGGATCCGAGAGAATCTCGGCTGCGTCCATGGCCTCCGTGCCGCTAGCACTCCCAGGCAAGATGACGCAGTCCTCTTCGTGCAGCTCGACAGCAGCTTTGCTTTTGTCGGTAGCCGTGCTCCGAGGGTCCGCGTTACCCGTCCCGGAGCCCGCAGCCACAGATGGCTCCTCCTCCTGCTCCTTAGTACCTTCTGTTTTCCTAATTTGAGCCACCCTGTAGCTCTCATAATAAGCGAGATCCTCATATAGGGACTCGAATTTCGGACACACCGTATATTGATAAACACACGCACATACTCCAGTCAGTTGTTTTAACGTAGTAAAACGATGTTCACCATTCCCTTAGTTTGAATAAAATAAATTAAAAATGCTGAAGACGGAATTGGTACCTTTTATCTTCTTTAGACGCTGCTGTTGGTATGGTGGCAGGTTGTCACTCCAACTAACTATTGTGAATTTTTTAAAAAATTATTCTTAAAATAACCGATAAGAAACATGAACCAAAAAAAAAAACCATTTTGCAAATCGTAACATTGTCCCGATCATTGTCCCCATAGAGGGTCTTTTAACATATTCCAATCTTGGAACACGATGGAGTGCTTCTTTGAAGGAAACTCCTCCAAATTATCTTTCATAAGCGACACCACTCTCTCAGGCACAAAGGTTGTGCTCTCTGCTAAATCCGACAGTATGCATTTCCCGCATATCGTAGAATTTGGCCAATAGCATGACCGCAGGTACATTGGCTAAATCTGCTAGCTTATTCAGTGATATGCTTACGGCTACAAAAGCGAAGTTTGGTTCAGCCAATTTATATGCATTTCTAATATAAAATAACATTCAGCCAACCAAAACCTAGAAAGGTTAAAAACTGAAATAACACGTTTTTAGACAGGTAGAATTCTGATGCAAACACAAAAATAATTTACCGATTATAGTCTAAGCATAAAGCTCACTTTTTCACTAATAATGGCAAAAATGAGATTTTGGAGTTAAATGACGCTCCCAGTAAGCCGGCTCCCTTTATGTAAAATTAGAAAGTTCTAACAAGTCTGTAGCTTATCAGAAGCCTCGTATCCACCTCCGCATTCGTTCCCACGCTCTCGGCGAATAAATAGTTCTCACAAATATGAGTCATGATGCACAATATACAATATACCCTGAAAACATTCACGCAATGTTATGTTGCGTCAATATGCGCACGGTCAGCAGTTTCCGAGAATTCACATAAGCAGTTCCTAGATGAGTTATCATCCTATAAAACTAACAGTAACATGAAATCAGCAGGTTCTGACAAGTCTGTAGCCAATCAGTTGCCTCGTATCTACATGCACACTTCGTCGTTAATTTCACTAATGGGCGTATATTGAATTTCTTAAGTTTTACAAGCGTATATGATATACGCCTTTTAGGAAGATGCATATTTCTTGCTTCAAAACATACGTCTTAAAGAAAAATGTGTATAACTCAGAAACTACTTGCAGTTCATATGCGTAATTAGAGGGCGTATAAATTTGATGTATTACGACATAAATTTCCTGAAAACGAAAAATCGCCTATTTCTCACCCTTTGTCAAATTAACGACGACTTGTACCTACTCAAGTAAACAGTAAATATAAGATATCGTCATCATGCTTCTGTAACCAATCCAGTGCGATCAGAAAGTCCTGACAAGTCTGTAGCCTCCGATCTCGTGACTTCTTCAGCACCACCAACCCTCACGATAACTACAAACTGTAGAAAAAAACAACACATGCACAGAATGACGATAGTGAATGCATGGAGGATAAGGAGATAGCTGCACAATTATTTTCTGAATGTCTGGCAGGTGGCAGACTAAGGCATCATCATACGAAAATGATATGCCATTCGAAATATCAGACTAGAAAAGAATCTTACCCATTCCTTCGAATAAACTTTATTGATGAACTTGAATGGAACCATCGCATCTCAATTAAAGACTTGTGAAAAATACAAAAAAAAAACTTACACTCATTTTACAGCATGTGTGTAAAATCATACAGTCGTCGGGTATAAAATGACATATGCTCAAAACAAATAGTAATGACAACATAACATATAAGAAGAGAAAATATTAGGATAAGAAGTCTGGCTTGGCAAATTTCCCAAATGAACTTTTTATCTTCAGGGACACCGATTCCAGCACATGCAACTAATAATAATAATAATAATATAAATTTTATTTCCGTAGTAGTTATTCCAAGCAATCTAGACTCTAAAAACAATATATGCTCATCAAAATCTCTTTCTTCATCTTTACTTAAAAATTGTTTCAAAACCTTTGCACAGCCTGGCTCTTTTGTTTACATCATTTGATTTTAGTCCTTATATTAGTCCAAGAGCCCAGAGCCGCCAGACACAACTTATTTTCTAAAGGACAGAATATGTGGGATTGAGTAGCACTTATAGGTACTATGAACGTCTGTATACTCGCTAAGTTGGATAGACGGCCAATTGACTGTTATTTGTAAATAAGAAAAATAAAGATGTAGAATCCCATTTCTACTCTAGCCTGGAGTAGACTGTAAGTTTAAGAGGGGGAAATAAATATCTCGCTCACTCACAAACGCATGCATAGTACCCTCGCGCTCACACTCACGGAAAAACTATTATTGCGTCTGGGGGAATGTTTGGCCGGTGCGATTGGTCTGGCTGAGCACACGTAGTTATGGAATAGTCTCCCCAATAACATGTATAAAAATCAAGCGTTAGAAAAAAAGTTAAAGTACTTTTTAAGCTTTCGCACCTGGTGTCGGTATATTGGCCGTCTACCCAACTTAGCGGGTATACATACGTTCATAGTACCTATAAGTGCTACTCAATCCCACATATTCTGTCCTTTAGAAAATAAGTTGTGTCTGGCGGCTCTGGGCTCTTGGACTATATGGCTTGAGGGACATTAATGAGTATGGCTGGTTCAATTATCCCATTCGACCACCTTTCACAAACTCGATAGCATTCCACATTGCTTCTTCATCCCACAATTATCTGGTTGACGTTCTTTCATGTTTACCCTTCATAGTGTAGCTAAAAAAATCAAAAATTACACCATTTTTAAATTCAAATTGGTTTGCAAAGTGTGCTTGTAAAATGACATAGACCACTCTGTGTAGGTGGATATCAGTCAAGCCGAATATAAGTTTATCCAAATATCTAGGAATGCCTAGCCTAAAAAAAAATTGTTTTATTTATAAATTTAATTTCCGTTTAATTCAGCTATACATCAAAATGTAACACTTTTTTGTAATGAAAATTTTTATTGTTCCAGTTGTAAGCGAGCATTATGAAGTGGACGTCTATCATACTCACGTGATAGCTGGCAACACCGCTGTGTTAACCTGCGTGATCCCTGCCGTGGTTGAGGAACATGTCACAGTCACTTCATGGTCTCGAGACGAGAGTATCCTTCTACCCGGTCCTAACATGGGTATGTCAACTCAATTTGTATCTAATGCACCTACTGCACCATAGATGCCTAGATATATTAATTAGATATTATGCTTAAGTCAGTTACATGATATCTATAACAAGCAGAGGCTTGTTATTGTACCATACGGCATACAGGTGATTTTTTGTAGCTTTAGTTTTCAGTTTACAGTTTTAGTTGGAGTTTAGGGGACTTTTTAAATTCACAAATGCTTAACGAAAAAAAAAATTCACGCGAAACGTTTCACATAATGTTTTAGGTGACTTAGCAAGTCTATCGCTGAGAATAAGTTAGGTAATACTTTAATGATACAGTAGGAAAAGTGAACATCAATGATATCCAGTAGGTACAGGAGAAACTGCGGCATTGGCGACTGAAATGTCGGGAGAAAGTACGGCGGATTTGCAATTGTTTTCAAATTTTGCCAAAATAAGATCCCAATATCGATCACGACTATAACGTGTCATTTCAATGCGATCGAGTCGATCCGATGGAACCGACGTCTAGTCAATTTCTGTTTACAACATTAAATCCTTAAATCCTTATTCAAGGCATATGACCAAGACAAGTAGACAAATACTAGAGAAAATACGCTCTCTGCTTTATTCACTGGACTCACTCTAACGAAAGTCTTAAGGGTTGAGTTCAATGCTCGGTTCGATGGCCACAATTCCGTTTGTCTTCTATTATTTTATTTCATTATTATTTTCTTTTGCTATGTAAAAATTATTATAATTTAAGTATGAAAATCCGTGCACTGAAAAAGACTTATTCTGTTTTCTTCCAAATCTTACATTGGAGAAGGAATTTTTATATTAATTAGGTCACGGTAGTTATGTGTGCAATTCGTGGGAACATGCTGACGATTGCATCGCCGACATAAGCAGTTTCTTGAGAACTGTGTTTGCTTGAAACCAGGATGCCCCATGCGAATAAACTTTTAGTTTTTAGATTAGACATAGACTTTGAGCTGTTCACACGTATTTTTGCTTTTGTATTTTGAACTTGTAATTTTTTAATTAAAGTTAATTTTTTAAAAACGGTTTCTTTATTATTGGAAACATAAAGTGGCGCAGTCGGTAGGATTCTTGAAAGGGCTTTCTCGTCAAAAAACCCTTCGCTTCTAATCGTTAATTCAAGAAACGAACCTTGAACCCGGAAACAAAAACTCTGTTAAACGGACAAGAACATCGTGTATAGTGTAAGACTTTTAAGTGTGGAAATAGTTGTGAAGAGAGGTGAAGATTGGAGAAGAAAAATGCTTCCTGTTGTAAGTTCCATTTTTATTACATTGTCCATTACCTGTCTATGTCTATCTCCCCGGATTTATCCGATTCTGAGACGGAAACTAGTGAAAACGGGTCAATTTTAATCGATAGTAATTATTCAAGTCAGTTAGATTTAAACACTTCTTTACATCTAGAATAGTATATTAAAGTATAAGTGGATATTAATATAATTTAATTGTAGAATGCTACATTCGTTGACACTTGTTATATTTTATTTGACGTTATCTACAAGTACCTACTCCTGACAAATCAATTATCAAAAAGTTGACATTTAGACTTTAACTACCTTTCTTGGGTTGTTGATGTTGTCATAATAACTTTAAAACACGCGCGTTTTTGAATGTTGGATTTAAACACACTGAGGAGTACTTTAAATAAGTAAAATAGGTTATCAATAAAAAAAAAATATTTTCAAATATTTCCATAAGTGAGAGAATCGAAACGATGGCTCCACCACATTTCGAAACTGAACTACTGGAAATGGTGCCAAAATTCGATGGCAACCCTTTAGAGTTAGCTTCATTTCTTGAAATAAGTCAAAAACTGATTTCGACTTATTGGAATAGTGAAGATCTTAATCTCGCAATAATTTATGGAATTTATGCTAAAATAATAGGTAAAGCTAGGGAAGTTTACAGCATTTGCGTATCTAAGGACTGGAAAACAGTCAAAGAAGCTTTGATCGTGCATTCTGGTAATCAAAGAAACGAAAATAGCTTATTGTTCGATTTAGATCAACTTAGACAATACGCAAACGAACCCCCTTTGCAATTCCATACTAGAGTTATGTCTAATTTAAGTGCTTTACATAATTATATTGATACCCATAATTTTAATGATCCAACAAGTATTGTTAAAAAGAATTTTTATAATTTACACGCTTTAACAATATTTTTGGCAGGTTTAAAAGAACCACTAGGTTCAACGATCCGTTCGATGAAACCAAAAGATCTAGCCGAAGCTAGACAGTACATCATTTCGGAAAGTAACATAAGACATTTACAAAAACCCCAAAATGATAATTTTGCTAATAAAAATAAACATCAAAATCAACAGAAGTAGAATTTTCATCAAAATAACTTTCCACGTTTCCACAATTCTAACACTTTTCAGCAAAATTATACGCCAACACAAACGTTTCAACCACCCGGAAACACATTTCCGGGTGCCCCAATAAACGTTAATCCCAAACAGATGCCAACACAAAAAATTTTCACCAACCAACAAGTGTTTGGTTCACCCAAAAATGTTTGGAAACCAAACCCTCAAGCGGCCCAAAATTTACCAAAACCAGTACCAATGAGTGGCATATCTCACGGTACCAATAGATTCAATAACGAAAATTTCCAACTACATAATGTAGAAAATGCACCCTTCCATCTAATTCCAAATCCTCACTACGCCGAAAATTATAATTATTAAACATCCCTGTAACAATACCAAATGGCGACATTAGTATTTACAAAACCTCGCTGTCCAACTGTATTTTGAAAGAATGCTTAACAACTGCGAGCGACGGCTATGCCCCAGTAGAAATTCATAACAATACTGATAGCGTCCAAGAAATATCTTTGTACAACCCAATTCCCGTAAAAGCGTTCAATAAAGCCGATGTTGAAATCTATAATATTTCTATAGAAAAAACACCTAATGAATTCCCTAACAGATTCGATATTGTCGATATCATTCGAACCCAACACATGAACGAGGAAGAGAAGTTTCATATAGAAAAATTATGCCAAAAATATTCGGACATATTCCATCTCGAAAATCAACCTTTGACTTTCACTAACCAAGTAAAACATAGGATAAAAACTACTGACGAACTTCCGGTCTATACCAAATCGTATCGATATCCGTTTATACACGTACAAGTAGAAAAACAGATCGGTGACATCTTACAACAAAACATCATTAGAAACAGCGATCCTCCGTGGTCCTCACCAATCTGGATCGTACCCAAAAAACCGGACGCCTCGGGTAAGAGGAAATGGCGTATCGTAGTGGATTACCGAAACGTTAACGCTAAAACCATCGACGACCGTTATCGGCACCTAACATAACGGACATACTCGACAAATTAGGCCGTTGTCAATACTTTTCTACCCTAGACCTCGCGAGCGGATTTCATCAGATAGAGATGCATCCCGACAACATAAAAAGGACCACATTCAATGTCGAGAATGGGCACTACGAGTACGTAAGAATGCCCTTCGGTCTCAAAAACGCCCCCGCCACGTTTCAGAGGGTTATGGACGGTGTCCTTAAGGGCCTACAAAACCGAATATGCTTCGTATACATGAACGACATTATTGTCTACTCGACCTCCCTACAAGAACACATGACAAATTTAAAATTAGTCTTTCAACGACTACGCGACAGTCACCTAAAAATCCAACCCGATAAATCGGAATTCCTAAGAAAGGAAATGGCTTTCCTAGGCCACATCGTGACAACAGAGGGCATAAAACCAAATCCTGACAAAATCAAAGCGATACTAAAATACCCGATCCCAAAAACAACAAAGGAAATCAAAAGATTTCTCGGACTTCTGGGCTATTATCGTAATTTCATTCCGAATTTCGCCAAAATAACAAAACCGTTTACTGATTTTCTCAAAAAGCACGCGACCATTAATGTAAATGATCCCACCTACGTAAAAACATTCGAAGACTGTAAAGTATTATTAACTAACGAGCCGTTGTTGCAATATCCCGACTTCTCAAAAGAATTTAACTTAACTACAAATGCAAGCAACTTTGCCATAGGTTGTGTACTATCACAAGGTCCGATCGGACAAGCTAAACCCATAGCCTATGCATCTAGAACATTAAATTCTGCCGAGCAAAATTATTCAGTAATTGAGAAAGAGCTCTTGAGTATTGTTTGGGGAACGCCCTATTTTAAACCATATTCATTTGGAAGGAAATTTAAAATCGTCACTGACCATCGCCCCCTCCAATGGCTAATGAACTTGAAAGAACAAAATTCAGGTTCACGTTTAGTTCGATGGCGTCTGAAACTCGAGGAATTCGACTGTCAGATAATTTATAAAAAAGGCAAAAACAATACAAATGCCGACGCGCTATCAAGAGTCGAGATAAAAGCAAATGAAGTAAATGATACTTCGCCAACACCACCTGGAAATAACGACAACAGCTTTGACTCAAATTTACCGCCTGTTTTGCAGTACATGCAAGAATACAACAATAATCCCGTTCTAGACAACCAGCTTCCGAGCACAAGTCACGGACCCAATGATCAAATTACAACAGCTTTTCAAAAGAATGAAAAAAATCCCGATGTTGTGACCGACAACCAGTCAATTACTGGCCAAGCTGACCCTGACGAATTTAATGATAATGACACAGTACATGCCGATTCTGAAAATCCCATTTTATCTATTCACATTAGTGAAAAACCAATAAGTTATTTTCTGTGTCAAATAGTCATTATAAAAATCGAAAATAACCCCCGAATTGAAATAAAGAAAATTTTCCAAAATCCTGTAAATAGAACCCGATGGTATATTTACGTAACAATCGATTCTTTCCAAGCACAAATTATCCAATACATAAAAGAATACATAGAGCCAAAGAGGCAATACGTCTTTCTTTTTCAAACTGACGAAGACGAAATGCTGTTTAAGCAAATGTGTAAATTTATACCGCAAACATTTAAATACGCATCTTACAAGTTTTTGAAATCCAA